AAATGTCTGTCCTTTTCCTGCCATGACCACCAGGCATCCCTTTTTGTCGTGGCATTGTTCAGTGTTCCAGACCCTCTCTGATGAAGAAAGTAAAACTTAATCCCAAATTGGTTCAGCCCAGAACAGATTATAGGCAGGGGAAGGTGTAAGAGGCACCACAAACAACCCTGACCTACTTAACTGTTCTATCTGCCACCTGTTTAGCTCTGCACACAAGTCACTCCTCAATGTGCAAGTCTAAACTGACTGGATTTCTGGGTCACCTGCACCCAGATAAGGGACTAGTAGTGCTTCTGGAAGGGACTGAGGTTAGATGTCAGGAAGGAAGGACTTTGCTGGCTTCACCTGGGAAGAAGGACATGGGAATTCAGGATTTTAGGATGCTTGAGATCCCTGGGGATGTGAAAAGAGAAGATAACTCTCTGGAATGTTTTGGAGGCAGGGGAGGAAGGTGCAGCAAGCCTACCTTACCATGCCACACCATCACATGAGGCCTTGTGTCTTCCCATCCCCCTCACTGCCTGGGAACTGTGTGTGTGTCTGAGAGACAGGGACAGAGACATACTTACCTGGTGCTTTGCAGTTTACAATATTTTTCCATCTTTAATCTTTACAGCCTCGGTTTTCTGGAGGGTATAAATCATAAAATGGGGATAACAATAGTGGGCATTTCATAGGGTAATTGAGAGATTATAAGCTATAATATATGATTAAGACAGTGAGCAGAGTGATAGGAGAGAGTAATAGTTGTTATTCATTATCTCAGAGGAGTTTCTCAGAGGTAGGCAGGGCAAGTGTTACTACCCCTGCTTTACAGATGAGTGTCTCCAAGATGGAAAGTGTCAGGCTCAAGGTCACTCAGATTTAAGAGACAGTGAATGGGGTGGGCCTGATGACACAGCCTCGTCTCCCCCGCCAGTGTTCAGTAGAGGAGGGACACACGGGTTGAGACAGAGCTCCCGCCAGGGGGCGCGCAGCACAGGTGACGTCACCCTCCCTCGTCCCTTTGTCGCGCCCGCGGCTCGTGCCTGGCCCAGCCGTCCGCACCAGGCCTGGACTTGAGTTGTGATTTGCGCTGGGAATGACTGCCATGGGGGAAATAAGGCTTGGTTCTCGCAGCTTCCTGGGGCTGGGGCTGGAGCTGCGGGGTTGGGGATCTAACAAACGGCGAGTGGGAAGGAGCGACGAGCCGCTTTGGTGGGGGGCGGGGAGCGCTCAGTGCTGAGGCTCATCCTAAGGACATGCCGCCATGCGTCTCTAGGGTCCCCGCTTCCGGTGGCCAGGCTTTCCTGCACAGAGCCCCTTAATTCCCTTAGCAAGTCCACAGATATGTCGCCCCGTTTTAAGAACAAAAAGCTGGGTCACAGAGGATGTGTGATTCGTCCAGGGCTCCACAGCTGGTTCCTGGCAGGCCCAAGATGGGATCCCGGGCTCTGAATCTGAACCACCCCACAACCCCATGGAAAGGCCTGGAAGAAGGTGGAAGAAGGCAGCTGTCATAGGTGTGGGGTCCTGCTGACTCATTTAGCACTCGCCCTGCAGTGTGGAGCCAGAATGCCAACTGGCTCATTGACAGGGGGCACCAGAACAGCCAAGGCTGTAGAGGGCTGGGAGTGAGCACATCCTTTCAGAGGGGCCGCACCCCGGAAGCCAGGTCATGCGGAGACAGAGCCCAGCTAGGGCACAGGCCATTGATGGGTTGGGGGTGGGGCTTGAGCTCTGCCTGTCTGAGGTGCCCATCACCACACTCACTGCCAACTTGCCCCAGGAACCAGACCGGCCTCACTGCCAGCCTGGCCTCCCTGTCAGATCTGCTGGCTGACCTCCCTCAGACGGCCACTCTTCCAGTCTCAAGATGTTTATTTCAGGCAGGGACTGCTGGCCAAAGAGCAGAGATCTCTTTAGAGTGACTGCATTTCGCCCGGGCCGGTTTTGCTCAGTGATTAGGGCAGTAGTTCTCAACCTTCCTAATGCTGTGACCCTTTAATACAGTTCCTCATGTTGTGGTGATCCCCAGCCATAAAATTATTTTTGTTGCTACTTCATAACTAATTTTGCTACTTTTATGAATCACCACTGGAAAACATTTCCAATGGTCTTAGGCGACCCCTGTGAAAGGGTCGTTCGACCTGGGGGTCGTGACCCACAGGTTGAGAATCACTGGGTTAGAGTATAGGACCATGGACCAGAGAAACCCAGGTTTGGTTCCACTAAGGGCATGTACCTCAGTTGCAGTTTGTCCCCAGCCCCGGTTGGGGTTGTGTGGGTGGCAACCAGTCACTGTGTTTCTCTCAAATCGATGTTTCTCTTTCTCTTCCTCCCTTTCTCCCTCCCGCTCTATATGAAGATAAATGCAAAAATGTCCTCGGGTGAGGATTAAATAAAGTGACTGTATTTCTCTGCTCACATCCATTTTTATTTTTAAAAATTTATTTTTATTTATTGATTTTGGAGAGAGATGAAGGGAGACGGAGAATCAGAATTATCGATGAGAGAATCCGTTGGCCGCCTCCTGCATGCCCCTCACTGGGGATCGGGCCCACAACTTGGGTATGTACCCTGACCGGAGATCAAACCGGCAACCTCTTGGTGCATATATGGGTCAACACTCAACCACTGAGTGACACCGACCAGGCCTCTGCTCACATCTATGTTGAGTCACTATCACAGTTTAACATTCTAACAATTCCCAATAATTGTTTTCCTAGAAGCCACTCCCCTCATTATACTGCCCTCACCATCTTCTTTCCACGTTCATCTCAAAGAATAAATACACAGATACATTCATCAGTTATATCTGAGGCTGACTGCTCACTTTACTGGGACTTATGGCTTTTCAAAAGTCTCAAGCCCCAACAATCCACTGTATAAGATTAAACTAGAGGGAAATTTCTGTGTTGCAATGGCAGCCACCCTAGGGAGGACAGCAGCTGCATACCGACTAATATTTCCTGCAGAAATGTCACATAGAAGGTGATGACCAGCACAAGCCGTGGCAGAATCGGATACAGGGCAGATTCTCACGGTCAGACCTCCCCACCTTACATACAGGAAGCAAAGTGCCAGGAGGAAAGCCATGAGGCCCAATGAAGTCCCACAGGTAGTGTTGTGTGCAGAGCGCCTACTTGTGGTTGGAGCCATCACTGCAGTTGAGCAGGCAGAAGACCTCGGAGCTGCTTTTTCTAAGCTCTACTCCACCGGTTTTCAGATGAAAACACTGAGGTCAGGAGAATGGAAATGAGTGAAATGCAAACGTTTTGTTATTTGCATTAGAAAACCTGCCCTCCTGGGAGGAGTCTGAGACTGTATTTTTGGAAAAAATATTCTAGAAATTTCTTTAACATCTATGTAAATACAAAAAGAAGGAAAATGACTAACCTAAAGGTCTTTTCCTCCTTCAAATCATAGCTGGGCTTGAGGAGCCTACTGTACACCCATCTGTATCCCATAGGCACAGGCAGTGAAATGGGTGCTACCCCACAGCTGGAGTCGGGCATGTCCGACTGGGAGGAATAAGCAGATGCATGAGCCAGGTTCTGCACTTGTAGCGTAGAGTCGACACATGAAGAGAAAAGAGTCTAACCGGACAGTCCGGTAGCTGGAGTGAGATAAGAGCATGATAAAAGAGATGTCGAACAATTACAACAGTTCTGAGGTGCAGCGGGGGGAAAAGTACATAAACTGGCCATTGCTGCTGGTGGTAGATCTGTAGGAGAGGAAACAGCATATAATGAAACTTGTTTTCAGATTATCCTGTGGCCATGTGTGGGATGGGTTTGAAGGACACCTGGGCAGGAGTCCTGAAAGACTAGGCAGGAAGTGGGGAAGGGACCCAGGGAAGAAATATGGGGTCCCTGAAGGGCTGCTGGTGCTGAGCAAGGAGCCCAACAGGACTCTGAGGTTTGGGTACAATGGGGAAGTTCAGAAGGACTGAGGCAAGAAGGGCGCGGGTTTACCTCAGCCTGACTCATTGCCAAAGGGCACTGCACAGACTGGGGAATTCCTCACTTTTGAACCTGATAGGAAAGAAATACCTTGTTTTCCACCAACATCAGACATGTACCTTGGTTTGACACAGAGTACATGGACTCCAGTGCCTCAAGCAGTAATATACTTAACTGCTCTTTAATAAGGCCTGAAGCTTTCAATTCAATTAAACTGAGAAACTAAGTTCTGGCAGACGTGCCAACTCTAGCATCTGCTGGTCGGAGATCAGTGAGCAGTCTGGGCCGTGCTACCTCCTGCCCTTCTGCGAAGCCTGAGACACGTGCTCGGGGCCAGGGTCAGTGAGGTGGGGAAGGGAGGTGCAGTGGCCAGAGCTGGGGTCCCACTTTGTCAGGAAGAGATATTTTTGAGAAAGGGGACCCAGTGCTATGGCCCCTCCACTGAAACATTCTCAGTGTCCCACTCCTCCCTAGGCTAGAGTTTGGGAAGAGAAGGGGAGGGCCCAGCTTCAGTGAAATGACACACAGGCCCCTTGTTCCCTAGGAAGAATGAGCCTTGATGTCAGGGCAGAGTGCCAGGCAGGGGAGAACCCTCAGGTGCAGCCTGTTCTTGCTGGGAGGTATGGGAGTACAACCAGGAGCTGGTGTGGGAGGCTGTAGGAGGAGAGCTGGCCAGTCTTGCAGAACTCATTCATTCCCAGGGCCGAGTGAGGGCAGAGTGGAGGGAGTGACAGTGAAGATTTAAAAAAAAAAAAGGTGGATGCTGTGTCCTTCCCCAGCCCTATGGAAGAAGGAATGAAGCAGCAAAGAAAAATGGCCTTTTTGGGTCTCACCCTGGGTGTCCTGTCTCCAGGCCTGTCCCTCCTCTGTGGCCCCAGCAGGGGACACTGCAGCCCCTCTGAGGCTGAAGACTAACCCTTACCCCACCTTCCCAACCTTGGACCCAGGCCTGGTGTTGGCCAAGACCCAGCTAGCTCAGGCTCATTCCCCAGACGCAGACTGTCATCCCTCTACCCTCTCCAGGGCATGAAGCCAGGGCTGGAGGACACAGAGAGCCATGGAAAAAAAGTTTATTTAGTCAGAGAGCCTCTGAAGGCACCTGGTTTCTGTTGAGTATAAAAAAGGCAGTAAAATGACAGTTGGACAGGGTACATGACAAGGTACAAGTCAGGGGGAGCAGGGGAGGGACAGGGAGAGGTTGGGGGAGGAGGCATGGGGAAAGGAGGGGTGCAATATCAGACGGGACGATAGAACAGACAGTCCTGGCCCCTGGCCACTCGCGGTACGAGCAGACGAACACACAGACACACACACTCTCTGAGCCTAGGAGCCTCTGCAGTCCTTCTCAAGTAGGAATCAGTCAGAGCCTAATGTGGGGGGATCTGTGCATATGCAGAGACTGCATCCCCTCCCTCGACTCCGACCTGCAGGCTCACAGTGTCCTCATTGTCCACCTGTCTACCCAGAGGCTCCCTCCTCGGGGCCTGGACACTGGGCTCAGCACAGGCCATGAGAAAGCAGAATTCGGCTGGAAGAGAAAACCTCCTGCCCACCCCTAAAGGATAAGGAATGGGCAAGAGCAGGGCCAGTGCAGTCCTCTGTCCATCAGGGGTCACACAATTGCCCGGAACAGGAAGGAGAAGACAGCCCCCAGGGCCAGGCCCAGAGACAGGAAGAAGGCCATGATGGCTCCAGCTGTCTCTGCCTCAGCCGGCTTCACTTTCCTAAAGGACAGAGGCAAAGCTACCTTAGGATGGCCCCTCATCCGCCCCACCCAGAGCATCAGCATGGGGAGACTTGCCTGAGCACCCAGTTCTGCTGACCAACCCATCCTACCTTCCCAACCCCAGTGTGGCTTTTTCCTCTTGAGGGAACATGTCCTGGGGCTGTCTTCCTCCTTACCTGAGACCTCTCCCACATCCCCACCTAAGTAAGCCTGGGCACCCCACCCTACACATGACCCCTTCAACCCGGGTGCCCCTCCCACGTGCTCCTTTCTCAGCCTGAAAACCTAAAGCTCCAGGATCAGGCTTTCTCCCTCTGTCGAGTGTCCCCCATTGGGGTGCTGAAGCCTGCCCGACACTCACTTGGGCCCGAAGCACATGCAGAGACTGGCGAGATAGCCATTGGAGAAGGCGAAGGCGGCCATGAAGAAGATGAACCAGGCATCGTGCTCAAAGACCACAGTCAGGTACCGGCGGGGATGGACATTGCACAGCAGCAGCAGGGGCACGAACACCAGCCGGGCCAGCACCAGGCTCGGCAGCCAGCGGCTGTCCTTCCCAGGCTGTGGAGACAGACCAGGCAGTGCCTCAGCCGCAGGCTCCAGGGCACAGCCAGGCCCCCAGGGCTCCATATGGAACCCCTCAGGACCTGCACTGAAACCTCAAAGCCTGCTTACACTTATGGGGAAGGAGCAGGGTGGAACCTTCTGGAATGTTGGAAATGTTCTCCATCTTGACCTGGGTGGTGATTATACAGGGGATGTGTATATAGTCATTAAGCTATACATGTAAGACTTGTACACTTAACCATACATAATGTCTTGATTTTTTTTTTAAAAAGCATGGTCCCCTTGTCACCATATTTTCTTGGTGCCCTTTCTGGTCTTAGGGTGGGCTCTTCGCTCTCACAGGGGCTTGGTGTCCTCTTCTTCCACCTACCCACATGGATATGGCTGTGAGGCTCCGGCCCAGCCAGTCGAAGACATTGAAAGTCAAGAAACAGGACACAGGAATGAAGTAGTATCCTGGAAAAGGAAGAGTACATTAGGGGATGGTTATTAGGTCCAGAAGCAGACCTAGCAACCTTGACCCTCACTGGGCCTGAGTGTCCCCAACTGTAAAGTGGAGAAGATGCTTTTAGCCCAGGGAAGGGCAAGTGGACCAGGAGAGTCGAGCTGCGGAGATGCAGCCCAGGGTCTCTTCTCCCCACTCCCAGTCCTGCTGGAGCCTGTCCATCCTCATCCTGGGAACCCATGGTTTCCTCACCCCAGGCACTACTGCCCGCAATGCTGGACTTGACCTCAGCAGTAACGGCAGGAAACACTCCAATGGTGACCGTGAAGATGAAGCAGACCGAGAGAGCCGGGACTAAGATCTGGAGGAAAGGGACCAGGGCCCGTCTTTATGGCAGCCATGCATTAGAGCACCAACACACACACGCACACACGCACACACACACACCCGGGGCCCCAGTCTTTATGGCAGCCATGCATTAGAGCACCAACACACACACACGCACACACACACACCCGGGGCCCCAGTCTTTATGGCAGCCATGCATTAGAGCACCAACACACACACACACACACACACCCCGGGGCCCCAGTCTTTATGGCAGCCATGCATTAGAGCACCAACACACACACACACACACACACACACACACACACACACACACACCCCGGGGCCCCAGTCTCTATGGCAGCCATGCATTAGAGCACCAACACACACACACACACACACACCCCGGGGCCCCAGTCTTTATGGCAGCCATGCATTAGAGCACCAACACACACACACACACACACACACACACACACACACACCCTGGGGCCCCAGTCTCTATGGCAGCCATGCATTAGAGCACCAACACACACACACACACACACACACACACACACCCTGGGCCCCAGTCTTTATGGCAGCCATGCATTAGAGCACCAACACACACACACACACACACACACACACACACACCCTGGGGCCCCAGTCTCTATGGCAGCCATGCATTAGAGCACCAACACGCACGCGCATCCAGGAGTGGCCAGTCTCAGGTCAGAAAGGGATGGGATGGAATAGACTGTGTGGGGAGGGGGCAGGAGGAGAAAAAGAGGGTGAGGGGTAGAGGGCAGGACACCTGTGCCCCACGCACATTTTTGAGGATGGCTTGGATTGAGTGACTTTTGTTGGTGGACTGAGAGTTGGGGGCTGAAACTCCAGACTCCGCTTTGCCTGCTCTTAGCTCTTCTCCTGGGGGGTGACAGGTTGTAGAAAGATCTTCAAATTGTAGGAAGGACAGAGCAACAGGAGATGACACAAACATTCCCCAAAAGGGCTGGGGTTAGTTGGGGTTGGATACCCCCTTACACAGTGCACGGAATCACCCTAACACCTAGCCCAGACCTCTAAATCCTCACAGTGCCAGTCCCTGGGTCCTAACCTCTTCCAGGAGCCACCGCTCAGGCCACACTTTGTCCAAGAACCCAAAATTGCTCCCCACTGCCCTCAGGCATTCAAGGTCACCCAGGACCTCCCCCTATTTTAGTTTTCCTGGCTCTTACTCTCCATTGTCCCCTCACCTCACCTCACCCCTGGTCCCTCTGGCCTCTGGCTCATCTCTGCCAATAAATAACAGTGTACCCATTCGGGCCCTCTGTGCTCAGCTGCCCCCCAGCCAGGGAGGCGGTCCTCCAGCCCAGCTTCCTCAGGCTATTCAGACCTTTACTAATGAGGTCCAACTTGGTCTCCTGTTCCCCAGGTCCTTCGAGCTTGAGCTGCTGGTAGTAGCGGTAGAATTCCTATCGAGTGAGAGAGATGAAGATGGACTCAGAGGCGGGATCTCAGAATCCCTGCCTCCCCCAGGTTTCAGCCTCAGAACACCCCTGGTCTGGAGCCCTGGACTCCCCAAACCCCAAACCCCCCCTTTCTCCTTTTGCTCACCAGCCGGGGCAATCCCAGGTAACAAATGATGGTCAAAATGATGACCCCACAGGCTGTGATAAAATAGCCGAAGGCACTTTCTGACAACTCCGAGCCACCTGGGATGGAGGGTGTCAGTGGTAAGATAGGTCCACCCTCTTCTCCCCGCAAAAACCAGACAGGCAGCTGGACAGCAAGACTTACTGGCGATGGCGCAGATCATGGCCACCGAGGCGAAGATGCCGGCCAGGCCCTGGCCACTCATGATGGGGGCCGTGTAGCTGGCAGGCAGGAGGCCAGCCAGACCAAACAGACTGCCCTGCAGGATGGCACCGAATGCTGGGGGAACAGGGTGGGCATCAGCAGGGGTGCAGGCAGGGTGGGACTCACTTCTGATGGGGTGGTTGGGGCTCATGGGGAAACGGTTCCTGTAACTCCTGCCTTCCTGCCAGTGGGTCTCGCTGCTCAGTGGCCCTTTTCTCTGCCGCCCACTCCCAGCCCTGGTCCCTGCCTGCTCAGGCCTCTGGGCCCTCATGCCCATGGCTTCTGGGCATTCATTTCTTCTGGGGGTCAGAAGGGGCTCTTCTCTGGCTGACTGGGTCTGAAGGAAGTCTGGGGGTATGTGGAAAGGTCTCTGCCTCAGGTCCCCACCCAGCCCCACTTACAATTAATGAGCATGATCTTGATCATAGTGATGATGAAGAAGGGCAGGGCATCCAGGTGCACCTTCACAAGGACAGCAGTGATCAGGAACACCAGCAAGATGGCCACCAGGCTGCCCAGGATCCGAACAGACTGGGGGATCCTGCAGGAGAGGCCGAGGTGGCAGAGAAGCGTGGTTAAGGCAGAGCCTCAACCCAGGGCACGCAGGAGGCAGCCGGGGTCAGGCCGGGCACTCGCCTCTGATGCATGAAGGAGTTGAGGCAGGTGAAAAGCAGCAGGGGCAACATGGCACACAAGGTCATGACATTGTTGAATATGGCACTCAGATAACTTCGCTCCACAGAGGGTGCTGTGGGGGTGGCCGAGGCCTGGATGTCCCTGCTCAGTTCAGCAGTGACCAAGGACACATTCTGGGACTGGTCCAGGCGGTTTGTGAAATACTGTGGGGGATGCGGAGAGGAGTGTTAGCTCTTTGCTCCCTGTACCAAGTACAGATCCAGTCTCTACCTGCCCCCCGGAGTCCAGTCCCCCCATTCTCACCTGAGTGGCTGTCATGAAAAAATTCCAGGGGAGCAGGGTCCCCAGACCCAGCATGAAGAAGATAAGCCAGACGGCTTTGTACCTGGGGATGGGAGAGGAAAGAGGAGCCAAGTGACCCTCCATCGCACTTGCCTTCCCGGTCCCATCTGGGGAAGCCCGTCCCCCCCTGACCTTCAGTCTCTCCAGCTATTCCAGGGCACAGGGCATCTGTGTCTGCGCCCATGTGCATGTGTCCTCCTACGGTGTATGTGCCGGGGGAGGTGTACTAGAATAGGGAAAAGGGCCCAGCTGTGTGCAGAGGGGGAGGAGGACCAGGGACACAAGGCTGAAGGACATGGCCACAAGACGGTGGCTCTCAGCCCTCGAAGACTCAGGGGACCCTGCAGGCTTGGGAACCAGTGTGGCCCATACATCTGGAGGAGGTTTTGGAAATCCTGCCATAAAGGCTGGGGGTGGCGGGTGAGTGAGAAAGCAAATAGCAAATGTTTTCCTCCCCCATCCGCCAAGCAGGCTGGAAGTGATTATGCAGTCTGGGCAGGGACTTTGTGGCTCTCCAAACAGGATTCTGAGGTCAAGAAACTCCCAGACCATTCTGAACCTAGTGGAGCAGGCAGGCAGGCAAGGTGCCTTGAGGCAGCTGGGAAATGAGGGAGTTGTTTTTTCCAGGCCCAGACAGAACCGGCTTTGTAGGTCACACCACCCAGGGTAGGCCAGGAGGTATCCGGCCACTGGACGTCATCTGGGCTCCAGAGTGTAAATAAGTGCGGCCCCAGCTTTTGCTAGGACATCGCCCCAAGCCCTGCACCTCAGGGCCTGTCTGGGATGGGCCAGCTTCCCCCAGGCAGCCCTGGGTGCTCCCACTATGGTCTCCAGAGGTGTCTGCCGTACCCTCCCCACAACCAACATCTGCTTTCTTCACAGAGATGGCAGGGACTAAGCCCAAGGCAGTGAGGACAGGTCTGGCTGGGATGAGCGCCCCAACTGGGCAGGTCTGAGTCATTACAACTGCAGTCCCCCAACCCCCTCATGTATCTCCACCTTGAAATAGAGAGCTAAGGGCTTGGCTCAGAGACCCAGGATGAAGGGAGAAACTCCCAGTCAAGGTCACACAGGAGAGAGGGTTGGAGTACAACAGGTGATGGAGATGGAGAGAGGTCAGAGAGTTGCTGGGAATAGAAACAAGGGAGGGAGCCAACCTGGGGCCTGTACTTACTGTCTTCTTAAATTCTTTCCCATCCAAATGAACCTCACCTCTATTTTACAGGTGGGAAATGGTCCCTGAGAGATCAAGCTAGGCCGAAGGTCTAGTTTGTGGCCTTTGGCACAGGAGGGAGACAGAATGGGCAGGGAGAGGTGACAGGTTGAAGAGCTTTGGACCCGAGGCATGACTTCATCAACTTCCATGGGTTCTGGACTCCTTGGAGAACTTGAATCAAGACACAGCCTCTTCCCCAGAACAAGTGCACGATCACACGTGTAGGCATAACTTGAGGGAGTTCACAGGCTCCACAGGTGCAGACGTGAGAGGAAGGTCAGAGCAAGAACTGGGGTGGGCCAAGGTCATGTGAGACAGAGGCAACCCTGAGGGAGGGGCAGTTCGGCCAGATGTGCTCTGGAATGAGGGGTGCTGCCAAATGTGGTGGTGGGAGGAGCCAGAAGCTGCTGTCTGGCTAGAGAGCACCAGTGGAAAAACTGACAGGCCAGGGAGGGACTGCTGCCCACCCACCTTGGCCCTCCCCACAGACACCCCGGCCAGCACCCGGCCAGCACCCAGCCAAGGCATGCATGGCCCCCACCCTGACACAGCCCTGAGTCACAGCTATCTGGCTGGAAGGCCAGTCAGCAGTGACAACTCCAAATTCCAAAGGACACCGCACCCAGCCCCCTGGATACCCATTTCTACTCCCCTAGGTCCCCAACCCAGGTCTCCCAGTACCTGTCCTGAGGCTGGTGACTGGTTGTCATGGTGCTGGCGGTCTTGGTTTTGCCTGGCTGACAGCTCTCTCCCTCTGAGGCTTGCTTGGGGCAGAAGCAGTGTGAGGCCTTGTTTCACCCTGTTTCCCCACAGGCCTCTTCAGACTCTTGGGGGGTACGAGGGGGCAGAGCAGACAGCGCTTGCAAGCCCTAGAGGCCAGCAGGACCCCCTCCTGGCCCTGCCTCTCAGGACTGCTTACCCTGACCTCTCTGGCCAGTCCTGTTGGGCCCCCTGCCTGCTCGAGCTCCCCCTGGCAACAAGCCTGCCCTGGCCGCTGCCACCGCTATTTTTACCCTGCAGCGAAGCGGTTGGGAAGCTGCGAAACCGGAGGGTGGAGAACAGGAGGGAAGGAGGAGGACAGCTGATTGAGAGGAGGGAAAAGACTGGCAAAGGCAGGGACGAGGATGAGAGGGGTCAGGGACAGTGACGACAATGGAAGGAGAAACAGGAGAGAGAGCAGAGAGGGGGAGGGGGCACAAAACTATCATCTGCTGGAGCAGCAGCCACAGGGATGATGGCTGAAGCCATGCCAGGGAGGCCTCCCCCCAAGCCATCTCTGTTAAGTCTGGCCTCTCCACCCTCCTGGAGGGCCCTGAACTCAGGCTAGGGTGGCTCTGGAGAACCTGCTCCCTCCTGGACTCTGGCCTCCCTGCTGCGGGCACCTCAACCTTCCTCTCCAGCCACTGCCCAGGGACATCCTAGTTCCTGGTCAGTTTTCCAGGAAAACACTTTCCTATGAGTGTGGGACACAGCCTTTTCCACAACTTAGCCTGACCCCCAGCCGTGGCCCCAGAGTCATCCCATCCCCCCTTGGTTCCTCTCTCACTCCCAGGCCCCTATAATCTTCCCTTTTCTGAGAGCGAACTTGAAGTGAAGGTTGGGGGGGTGGGGGCCTGACTAACTGCATAGTCCCAAAGCTCCTAGCCTCCCCGCTCAGTGTCCCTCTCCTGCTCCCCACTGTGTTATTTCTCTAGCTAGGACCCTTTTGGCACCAGCAGATAAAATGGCTTTCCCCTTGGATGGCACAGAAAGCCAACAGGCATGTCCCCCAGGTGAGGGCCTAGCTCTGGAGCCAGGAGACTGGCTTTCCCCATTGCCCACCTGGGCCAGCACTCACCGGAGACTCTGACTTGCCAGCAGAAGGGTCGGGGCAGAGGAGGCCTGGGCAGTTCCTAGGAGGTGGTCCTAGCTCCGGCTCAGGCAGCAGGCCTTGTCCATGGGCTCCTCCTGGGTAACAGTCCAGAAAGAAGACTGTGGCACAGGGCATATGGGGAGAGAACACCCCCCCACACCTCACCCCCCCCCCCCAGTCTTGCTGTGGGAGGAAGCTGCCCCATTCTGAGAAGCTGCGCCCGCACACACACACCCTCAACCGTGGAGATAAAAACCATCTCTGCAGCTTGGTAGATAACAGACTCCGTCTCAGCAGGGGAGCTGCAGGGTGGGTCAACTCAGGTACAGCCAGTGCTCTAGGTCCCAGCCCATGACAGACACCTTCCGGGACCCCATACTCTCAATGGACTTTTCTACCCATCCCAGTAAGTCCTCTCAACTGCTTCCTGGGTAAACTCCAGACTCTCCACAGCCTTCCTTAGTGCCCCAGCCCACACCTGGGTTGTAGGACAGGGAGGGGGGGAGCAGAACCACAAATCTCCATCTGGAAACAGAGGGCTTCTTTCATTCATCCTTTCAACATATATTTACTGAGAAGCTTTGCAGGCTGGCCAGGAGGCACTGTTCTAGGCACTGGGGAGAGTGGAGAACAACATTTTACTTTCTAGAGGTGTGAGGGCAAGAGGGCTCTACCCTGGGGAGAGTGGGGAATGTACAGAAGGGTCAGGACTCAAGTTTTCTATTAGGAAGCAGGGAGGGAAACCCCCAGCTTTCACCTCAGCATACCCTGTGCTCCTCCCCAACCCCCACAGGTAAGGTTCCTGGCAGGGCAGTTTCAAATCAGACCAGAGATGGGTTTCCTCAGTGAAGTCTGCCTTACGCCCAGAGGAATACTAATTTCTGCCCTCTCCATCAGCTATACGCCTGCTTTCTCTGCTCAGTAAACCCACCCCATTCCTGGGCACAATTCAACTCCAGAGGTAGCTCCTTCCCCTGCCCACATCCTGACACTTAGCAGTCCAGCCCAGGTGCTTTATTTTTGTCTGCCTTTGCCCAGCAGCAAACAAGGATTTGATACCAGCTCAGACCATCTGGAGTACCTCCAGCCATGCCTTGGCATGCCTAGATGAGGCCCTAGATGAGTCGCCAAACTCAGGCTCCCAACACCTCTCCTGCACTCCAGTTTTTAGACACACCCTGTGGTAGCATCAAATTCTCCACTCCCCAGGACCCCATATGGGACCAGCCTGCAGATACCCTCTCTTTCCCTCATAACCACCCATAAGCTAGTTCTAAATAGTCTCCATTGAACAGATAGGGAAGCTAACTTTCAGAGGGGTTGAGTCTCATGCCTAAGGTCTAGTGAGTGGGTGAGCTGGAATTCAAACTCAAGGTGCAGCTTATTCTAGGCTACTTCTGGGGTGGGGAGGGAGGTACGAAGGCTGCTTCCCTGCTGGCCCTGTATACTGGGAGGTAGGGGTGCTCTACTCTAAGGGGGAAAAATAAGGTGGGGGCCAAGGTCACCTCCAGCCTGACATGGAAGTCAGGTGTAAGGCACCCCCCCCCCCATTACACACACCCTGGCTTGAAGGGGGGCAGGAGGACGAGTGGGAGGGTTTAAAAGGTTACCAGAGAAATGGGCAGAGGGGCCGCCCCAAGGGTGGCGAGGGGCAGGACAGGACCAGCTCTCCCCGGGGAAGAAAACCTGGAGCGTGTCTCCTTGCCGTTTCTCCGAGTGAAGAAAGGTCCGCTCTTCGGGAGTAAATGAGGACGCGTTTAGCAAGGGGAGGCCAGGGACACGAGTTCGGTCAATAAAAAGCGGGGTTAAAGAGACAGCTGCTTCGTTCCGCGTGCCCTCAGCCCCATCCTCTCACCCAGCGTACTTGGCGGCCCGGGGCTCCCCTATACCAACAAGATCGATCGAGATTAACCATCTACTAGCCCAGCCTTTGCGAAGGTCAGCTCCGCACAGCCGGTTTTAGCGACAGCCGGTTTTAGGCCCCGGAGCCAGGCGGGCCCCGCCCCGCTCGGGTCCCCTCCTACGCCACGCTCCTCCACACTGCACCTTTCCCTTCCCTCGGGCGCCCCTGCCCTGGCACGCCACGTGCTGCGCTGCTCGGCACGCCGCGCCTGGGCGCCGCAGGGTGTCCCCTCCGCGGCCGTGTGGGGGCCAGCCCCCGCCTACCTGCCCTCGTGGCAGGCGGACAGCGGTGCCTTCCGCTCCGCAGGTCCCGGACCGCGAGCCCTCGGAACCCCGGCCCAGGAAGCACCTGCTGTGAGGGCGTCCTCCCGCGCTGAGATCCGCGCGCTCTGTCTGTCCCGGTGCTTCCCGCGCCCACCGTGGCGCCTGCCCGCCTTCCCCTGGGCCCGCCCCTGAGCGCGCCCCGCCCCCTCGGCCGCGGGGGCCACGCCCCGGACTGTCCCGGCGCCTTTGGTGGGGGGACCTGATGGGCCCTCACCCTGACACCTTCGCCCCCAGGGCGGCCTGGCCCCCACTTCGCCTTATTTCTGTAGCTAGGACCTCTCTGGGCCCGGCCCTACGATACTGTGTCCCCTCAAGGAGCGCAGCTCCACACGGGTACCCCTAGTCTCCTAGGCCCTGGGGCTACACAAATTCTACAGAGCTCATCTCAGGGCTCTCTCAACGACAACCCTGCCAGACAGGCCCGGGCGCCCCACGTCCATACTCCACCTCAGATGTTCCATTACCCTCCCTCCCACGCCATGCACCTTTTTCCTTTCCAGCGACCCCCTCACTCCTCAGTTTCTCTTTCATCTTTTCAGACCAGTTCTGATCTTGCTCTTCTGCCCTCGACCCCGATACGTCTTGGGATCCCTCCGACATAATCTGTACCATCAGTGACATGCATGGTGGGGTTTCCTACCCCTAACACACACAGACCGCACATCCACACAAACACGCCACCCACAACTCTGACTTGGATGTGTGGCTCTGTGTGGGGGGTGATGGGTAGAATCACAGCCCTGTAGCCCCCTCATGATTCACTCTTTCTAAATTCAGAACTTTGGAAAAACTGAGGCACAGTGGGGATGGGAAGAGAAAAAGCTGGGAACAGCCTTACCTCCTGAGTGAATTCTATTGTCCTGATACTCAGGCAGGGCGGAAGCTTGCTGAGCCTTGCTGAGCCCCACATCCTCCACTGTCGGAGGAAGAGGGGGTGGGCATGCTGAGGAGTGGTCAGTCCTTCTTGTATTTCCAAGGGAGGGGGAAGGGAATCTCTCCTTTTTTGTAGATTAACAAATTCGGGGAGGGGGAATCACTGCCCTTACAGAAGCCCTCAATGCTAGAGGACAATCCAAAGGCTGGAGAGGTGCTGAAGAGAGAAAATCCAATCTAGCTGCCACCCTACCCCTACAACCCAAGAGAGCTGTCCCCTGAAGAAACCACAGACACTAATTAACAATGAGTACTGTCCGGCTGGTGTGGCTCAGTGGTTGAGCACCGACCCATGTACCAAGAGATCCCCAGTTCAATTCCTGGTCAGGACACGTGCCCAGGTTGTGGGCCCGATCCTCAGTGGGGGGCATGCAGGAGTCAGTCAACCGATGTTCTCTCTCATCAATGTTTCTATCTTTCTCACTCTCACTTTCTCTCTCTCTAAAATCAATAAAGGAAAAAATAAGAATTAAAATGAACAATGAGTACTGTCATCTAGGGATAAGCCAGAGTCACACCCTCTCCCTAGAGATCAGACTGGGCCTTGAAGGGAGGAGTAACTTTTCTACTTAGGATCAGTGGACACTCCCCAAGTTATTCCAGAAGCCGTAGTCCCAGCCTTCTGGCTCCTTGCCCCACAGAGACATGACACACTGTCATACCCCAGCTTAACCAAACAAGGGCAGGAAGAGGGGTATCAGTGGTATTTTTCTAGGCACTGCACCATGGCTTAAAGGCATCTTCATGTCTGGGACTACGCACCCCCTTCCTACCCTGTGTTTGTCCAGTCTCTCTCTCTTCCTCTCCTGGCCCTCTTCTCCCCTCTTTCTTGGCCCCTGTCTCTCTTCCCACCTCTGTTGCCCAGTGTTGTCCTGTGGGGGTGGCAGTCCTTAGTGGTCAGACAGATCCGCTACATACGGCTGGGCTGGTGGCCAATGGTTGCAGTTGTGTGCAAAAGGGGCTGGAATTGGAAAGAAACTGGAGGGAAGTGGCAAGGGTCCTGTGCCAGACAGGGGAAGGCTGGTTCCTCTCTCCACCCCCACTGAAGCCTGGCCTGCACCCTAGAGGGCAACAGCCAGGGCTCTTATTGCTAGAGAGAAGCCCATCTGGCACTCACTCTGCCTGGGCCCGCAGCCACCACCTACACCCCTCCAGAGCTACTTCCCTGGGCAGAGATGATTGCTGGATGCCAGGGCCCTCTGCTGGACAGCTTCAGAGCCCAACTCACCCAGGCCTGTGCTTGGAGTTTTGCCAGCCAGGCCAAGGCAGTGCTTGTCACTCTCTGCCCAGTCTCATGGCTCTCTCCCTTCCTGGGCTTCCTCAGGTCCCTGGCATAGGCATGGGGTGGGAAGGGCTGATCCAGTTCCCCACTCTCACCGTAGTTTAAACTGTGGCTTGCCCAGACTCCCTCCTCTCCCATCCAGGCCTGCCTCACCACCTCACACAGTCCTATCTCCCTCCAGCCTTGTGTCCATCTGTTTGCTCAGCCCAGTGTTCTGTCACCAGCGCATGTCTCGTGACTGTGTGCATTCTCAGTTGTGTTTGTGACCACATTTCCATGGCTAGGCTGGGACTAGGGCAAGGCCAGTGATGGACTTGCCTGTAACGCAAAATTTAAGGGGTTGCCAAAAAATTTCAGGAATCAAGGTGAATAATATTTTACTGCAATATTTTTTAAAAAATCAAAGTTAATAAAAAATATCTGTGAACAAAACATCAACATTTAAAATAAAGACAGGATCTGGCCTCTCAGGGTCAGACGCACTGCACCTTCCTTGACAGTGTACAGCAGCTCTGTTCACTAGGTCTGGACTTGTCGCCTACTTTCTCTGACCGTTGCCCCTTCCTCTGCCCTGGGTAGGTTTCTGACCTTTCTGACCTTTGGTGATCGGTGTGTGATGGGGGTGGGGGTGGGGGTACGTGTGGGGAAAGGCAGTCCTCTAACTGAGGCCTTCAAAGTCCCAGAAAGTATGGCCTCCAGCAGAAGGCGCAGATTCCCACTCTACTACTATCTCCACCCCAACCGCACCTCTCTCCCCGACCTCGACCTCGGGGGAACAGCGCAGCCCCCGCCCCAACCCCTGTTGCCCCCGCCTTTGCTCCCCCAACTCCAGTGGAGACCTTGGAGGAGCATCCTGAGCTGGGGAAGGGGGGCAGGAAATGATCGGGCCAGCAGGGCCCTGGTCGCCCTCCTAGCCTCCTCACCTCAGGGTTGGGGCCTTAGCCAGAAATCGCAGCCGGGTCTGACTGGTCCCCGCCGGTGGGAGAGCGGCTGCGACCCGTGATCCGGCGCCAGCCCTGCGCTGCTCCGGAGCCAGAGCGCTTCGGGGAGGCAGGCAGCAAGGGAGGCCTGCAGAAAGGGAGGCCGGTGGGAGAGAGACTGGCTGAAAGGGAGGCCGGGAGCGAGGCCGGGAGCAGGGGGGGGAAGGCGCCCGGGGTTAGGCGTCCAGGGGCTCTCACCCCCTTCACTCCGCTCCTCCCCCAGGCCGCCTTTCCGAGAAGGCGAGCACGTGCTCTGGTTTTGAGAACTCCAGAGCAAGCAGATGGCCCAGCGGTGGGGAGGCGGGGGGCTGGTGGAAAGCCCCACAGGGCTGGGATGGGGCTCGGAGGCGGGGGGCTGGCGGAAAGCCCCACAGGGCTGGGATGGGGGCGCGCAGCTCTGGCTTCAGATCGTGCCCTGGCCCAAGCTTCTAACGGGTGTAAAGGCCGGTCGGGGGTCCTGTAAGATGCCTATATTCCTTACTGTGTCCCTCTGCCCCTAGAGCTGGTGGACGGAGAGAGGGAGGGAGGATGTTGCAGGAGGATCTTAAACAGATTATTCAGAGGGGAGGAGGAAGTGAAGCAGTGAATTCCTCGGGTTACTACCCCACCCCCCTCTTTGCTGGGGGGGCAGTGCTCCTCAGAAGCATGCATTTCTGCACTGTTTCCTTGAGCAGCTGCCCACAGGGCCCCTTAGCCAACAGATCTCCCTCTTCCCTCCACCACTAGCTGAGAAGAGGCTCCAAACACAAGGACCTTTTCCTCCTTACCATGAGCTGTACACCAAACTCTCTCCAGGAGAGGCCCAGGACCTGCTGGGACAGAGGTGACCAACTGAAGCGAGACAAGAGAACCAGCTTCTGGGAGATGAGGGCTGGCCGGCACAATGGACTAGGGGTCCAGGGAAGCCTTGAGTTGCTCCCCACCCTTACCCCTGGCCAGGAGAGACTGGCTTGCAGTGAGGCAGGAGTGTGGGTGACAAGAATTTCAAAGGCACTCCAGGAATTCAAACATATTTATTGAGTACCTGCTGCATGCTGGGCTTTGGAGGCAGGAATGATTCTCTGGGGGAAATCAAGGTTTTATTCTTTTAAGTTAAATCCTGAGTCTGGAAGACAATCTGGATTAAAATCTTGCCTCTCCACGAAATTGTCAGTTGTCCCTGCGTTAAACACTGTCCCTCACTGGACCTCATGTCCCCATTCGTCTGGGGGTAGGGAGAGGGGGAGAGTCAGTTCCTCTCCCTGCTGAGGCCCCAGGTGATTAGGCAAGGTCTTGAGGAAGACCTTGCAGAGGACAGTCAAGATCAAGTTTTCTGCTAGATGCAGGGCATGGCTCCAGTCATTTCTGCTGGAGCCGGAAAGCACGTCAGACTCCTCTCATGCTCAGTCCCAAACCATGTCTAATGCCCACACGGCAGGCTTCGGTCAGTAATGGTGCCAGGACTGTCTTACTCCAAAAGGAAACCTTTGGTTTCTACTGCTACCAGGACGCGTGGCCTCATTTTTGTGGGGCTAGCCTCTCCCTTCTCTCAGGGCGGGCCCCTCTGGAGATCTCTCCAGTGTCTGGCGAGTGTCTCTGGCTGAGGACGAACAACAGACAGCCCAGCAAAGCCTCTCGCACGTCCCGGGAGCCCAGGCGGCGGGCCAGTTGACGCAGCAAGGGCAGGAGGTGCTGGCGGGCCAGGCGGGCGGCGGGCAGCAGCAGGCGGGACAGCAGCATTCGAAGCAGCAGCGGGAGCAGCGGTGCGGGCATGGCCGGGTCAGTGAGTCGAAGACAGTCCGGAATCTCGGCTTTCCTCTCCTGCTCCCTCTTCACCTGGCAAAGACATGGGGCGGTGGGCAGAATTTCCACCCCCTTCAGATTCCGCCACTAGGCTCCCCAGACTCCATTTCATGCGACATGTTGCTTTCCTGAAGCCCCGTCTCTTGGCGAGGTAGCTAGAGCAGGAGGGCTGTCCCTGTAGAGTAGGCGGGAACCAGGGCCTACAGCCTGCGGTTCCCAGCCGCCGGGCTCTCGCTGTTCCCTGCACTCTTCCCTCCTCTAGTCACACGGCCTCTTGCACACGCGCTCCTTCATTCTCCATCCCTTCTCCCTCGATCCAGCAGTTCTCCCCAGGCAAGTCTAAGCTTTCTTTTCCTGGCCCTTGATCCATCACCCGGACCTGATACTCCGTACCCTCCCAAACACCCACCTCCATGGGCAGCAACTCTCACCAGTCAGAACCACTGCTCAGAAGCAATCTCTGGCTGAATTTGCTTGTGTGGACACAGCCTCACTGGACATACAATACCCAGGGATGCCCCACCCAGCTCAGCCCCACCCAGGACAGCTTGTGTTGGGGGGGGGCAAGGAAGAGACAGCTGGTGTGCTGGCATCTGGTATCTGGAGGAGAGGGGGCAGCTGGGCTGCAAGAAGTGTAAGGAACAGAGGCAGGAATTCTCCCTGCTGGGTTCAGACCTCAGAGTGGGAACCCAGACTGCACTTTCTAATGATGTGACTGTATGCACGTCGATGCTCCGGTCCCCTGCAGTAGCTGGGGGTCGCTGGGAGGAGTAGCTGGAACAGGACTGTGTATGAAACCCACTTGCCCAAATCTCAGAAGCTGTAAGACTGCAGCCCAGACACGCCAGGCACACTCAGAGTTGCTGAGGCGGGGAGAACAGGGCCTGGCAGGCATTTGTGGGCCCTCCTGTGGGGCAGAGGAGTGGGGTCACAGGTCCATCTCACAGCTGGGCCCAGTGGGAAAGAGCTGGGCATCACTCTAGCTCAGGATCAGGAAGAGGAATACCAACTTCAGGACCCTCTTCTCCACTTACTCGACCCCCCCCCCCCCAGTTAAGTGAAATTCCATGTGTTAGTGAGATATAGAGATAGTCTGGGTCATTTTATTTTATTGCTTTTTAGATAGATAGGAAGGTAGAGAGAGAGAGAAACATCGATATGAGAGTGAAACATTGATCTTGATCAGCTGCTCCTGCATGGCCCCTACTGGGGATTGAACCCTGAAACCCAGGCACGTGTCCTAACCAGGACTTGAACCCACAACCTTTGGTGCACAGAACAATGCCCAACCAACTGAACCACACCGGCCAGAGTGGGGTCTTTTTTGTTTTTAAACACACACCTCCTTCTCCTCCTTCATAAAATGGATGTAATTTCTGCCTTGCTGGACTCCCATGAGACAGTGGCCATGAAGGTGTTTTATAAACTCTAGCCTAGCCTTGGGAAGGTGACCATCGATCATTTCACCGCCAGCCTCCCTGGCGTCATCACATCTCCAGAACCACAGAAGACCCTGAAAAAAGGAAACTTAACTATCTAAAAGGCCTGTTCCACTTCTAGCTAGAGGAAGCAGGAGCTGGAGTGTAGATTTATAAATATTGTACTCCTCCCCTTCCAGTTTCCTCCTGAAGATTTGTGATGGCCATATGTCATCCCTGGGCCCTGGGCAGGATGTGTATGGGGTACACAGTTGTGCCAAGCCTGTGAATTCAATATCTCTCTCAATTCTCACCACCACTCTGCAAGAGAGTGATTATTATAAGCATGTACAGATGAGGAAACTGAGGTTCAGAGTGATTAAGCAACTTACCTAGAATGACACAGCAGATGGATGGGCTGATCTCCCTCCCAAACCGGCCCCTCCCGAAGGCTTTCCCATCTCTGCAAGTGGCAGCTGTACCTTTCTAGTTACTCCGCCCAAATCCTTCCCTTCTCTCTTCCTATCACAGTTCACTGCCCACATTCATAAATCCAGACGGCTCTACTTGCTTTTTCCTTTCATTCTTGAATATAAAGCTCATTTAATTAATGTATAGTTGACAAACCATATTATATTAATATCAGGTATAAACATGGTGACTTGACATTTACATACCTTATCAGACAGATGGTCTGGTAACCACCTGTAACCATACAAAGGTATTGCGATATCATTGGCTATATTTCCCCGCAGTACTTTACATCTCTATGACTTATTTATAAGTTTGTACCTCTTTTTTTTTTTTTTTATCCTCACCCGAGGACATTTTTCCATTTTTTTGTTCAGGTAGAGTGGGAGGGAGAGAGAGGAACAGAGAGAGAGAGAGAAACATCGATGTGAAGGGACACATCAAGTGGCTGCCACCCGCACGACCGACCAGGGCCGGGGACAAACTGCAACCGAGGTACATGCCCTTAGCGGGAACCGAACCCGGGTCTCTCGGGACCGCAGGCCGACGCTCTAACCGCTGAACCAAACTGGCCAGGGCTAAGTTTGTACCTCTTAATATCCTTCGCCTTTTTGCTCTTCTCCCCACCACTCAACCCTCTGGCAGCTATCAGTTTATTCTCTGTATCTATGAGTCTGTTTGTTTAGTTTTCTTTTAGGTTCCACATATAAGTAAAATGATAAAGTATTTGTCTCTGTCTGACTTATTTCACTTAGCATAATATCCTGTAGGTCCATCCATGTTGTCCCAAATGGCAAGATTTCATTCTTTTCAGTGGCTGAGTAATATTTTATTTTATAAATAAATGTGTGTGTGTGTGTGTGTGTCCATTCATCTATCGATAAATATCTAGGTTGCTTCCTTATCAAGGCTATTGTAAATAATGTTACAATGAACATGGTGGTGCATGTATCTTTTCGAATTAGCGTTTATGTTTTCTTCGGATAAATGCCCAGAAGTGGAATTGCTGGGCCCTTCTTTGTCTTTTGTTATAATCTTTGTTTTAAAGTCTATTTTGTCTGGTATAAATATTGCTACCCCAGTGTTTTTTAATTTCCATTTTCATGAAATATTTTTTTCCATCACTTTACTTTCAGTCTGTTTTTGATCTGAAGTGAATCTCTTATAGGCAGCATATGTAAGTATCTCGTTTTTTTTATCCATTCAGCTGGTGTACTTTCAAAATATTCAGAATCTTACCACTTCTCACCAATGCCACCATGACTACCTTCGTCTGAGCATTACCTCTCACCTGAATTATTATAGTAGCCTTCTAATTGGTGTTCCTGTTCCTATTTTTCTTTTCCACACAGTGCCAGAATGATCTTTATAAAATATGAATCAGATTCTGTCCTTTTTATCCTTTTTTTTTTTTTTCTCAAACTGTCCAATGGCTCTAATTCACTCCGAGTAAAGGCCAAAGGCTTACATTATGACCTACAAAGCCCTGACCTGGATGGTCTCACTGATTCAGCTTCTAGTTCTTGCCTCTCATTCTGTTCCAGCCACATTGGCTTCCTTGTACCTCTTTAACTATGTCAGACATGTTTCTGCCTCAGGGCCTTTGCACCTACTCTTGCTCCTGTCTCCAAGATTCTTTCTCCAGGTATTCACATGGCTCCTTCTCTTATCTCCTTCACATCTTTGTCCAAACTTTATCAATTCAGCCTATTTAAAAGTATACTCCTTCCTCCCCATCTCCTGCTGTCTCCTTTTCATCCCTTCCTCTGCTTTGTCTCCATAACAAATCATTATCTGACATGCTATATGTTTAATTTTACTTCCTTATCTTGTTGCTGTCTGCCTCTCCCACTAATATGCAAACTCTATGAGAGCAGGGACTTACATTTATTTTGTCAGCTGCTGTGTCCCCAAGGCTTGGCAGTAAACATTTGATGTAAGAATAAATAAATGGCCCTGGCCAGTTTGGCTCAGCAGTTAGAGCGTCGGCCTGCGGTCCAGAGAGACCCGGGTTCGGTTCCTGCTAAGAGCGCGTATCTTGGTTGTAGTTTGTCCCCAGCCCTGGTTGGTCGTGCGGTGGCAGCCACTCGATGTGTCCCTTTCACGTCGACGTTTCTCTCTCTCTCTCTCTCTCTTCCTCTCTCTCCCTCCCACTCTATCTGAACAAAAAATGGAAAAATGTCCTCGGGTGAGGATGAAAAAAAAAAAGAATAAATAAATGAAAGTTCTGTGACAGGATCAAATCTAGGCCTGTTTGCCTTAGATCCTGTACCTTTAAGTCCCAGAACTACCTTGGTCTGAACACATTTCTAGGATACGTGTGAGAACCCGCAGGCCACACACAGCTGCAGAGAGCCACTCTGGAGGGGAGAATTGATTGCACTGAGCCAAAGGAAAGGGAATTCAGGCCTCGAGCTTCCGTGGGAACCTCCAAAGTAATTCTGAGGGTACCATGGAGGCCTGACCAAGCGCTGGCCCAGATCTGCAGTTGCTGTGACCTTGGGTAAGTCACACCCCATCCCTCCCACCCTAGCTTCCAGCCGTGAGAATCTTGGACCTGAGTTTGGGGTCAGGTGCCTGAACCATCCCTGCCCCTGTAAGCAGAGTGAGGGGCTCCAGGGACCTGGGAGAGTGAAGCAAGTAAAGGAAACAGGATGTTGTCTCTGTTAACAGTGGGGAGCCCCAGAGGAGGTTGGGAAGGGAGGTAGGGAGGAGGTGGGAGGGACAGTGGCTGGGTCCAGGACAGGGATCTGGCTTAGGCTCCACCCCACTCCTCCTGGGATTAACTCCCCTTTCCACTTCCTTCCCACCCTCACCTGGGATTAACACCCCCACCCCCTTCCCGAAGTCTGCCCCAGACATTTTCTCTAAGGCAGAAAACCAAGGGATCTGCTGAAGATTTCCTCAGCCATTCCTGGAAAGATAAGCATCCTCTCTGGCGACGAAGCTGCCAGAGTTCCTTCTAGTTCTTGATTTTGCCTTGTGAAATGGGTCTTGCCTCCACCGCCCTGACCTCTAACTCTCATCCTCTGCTGGCCAAGGAGGAGCCAGGCAACTTTGAGGAAATTGGCCAAAACTCCT